TAGAGTATAGTGTTATCGCTGGAACTATTCCTCCGTCTCTTCGTCGACAGCATTGACAGCACCGCCTGCAGACAGCGGAGCGTGCGATGATAGGCCCACCTCTGCCGCAGCTGATCGCGTCGCAAAGGGAGACAAGCACCAACGACTACCTCTGCCTGCTAAAGAGAACGTGCCCAGCTACGACGACCTCTACTGCGACGGCAATCACTGTAGCCAGTACAATTCAAGCTCGGGCTTCGAGTCCAGTTACTTCGGCTAATACAGCACAAGCTCGGCCCTCGACCGCAGCTGCTCGACCGGCTACAGCACAAGTTCGGACTGCGAGTGTGGCTACTCGGGATGCTACTGTACAAGCTCTGACTGTGCGTCCCTGTTACTCTGGCTTCTACAGCACAAGCTTCGAGTGTTATCCTGTCTGATACAGCAGAAGAAAACACAATGACGCTGCCTCTGCATCTTGATACAGCAGAAGGTCATGCTGCAGTAGAGGAAGAGGAAAAAGGTGAGGAGCCCGAGCTTGAAGACGTTGCAGAGTTCAACATGCACGATTCGAATGGATTCATTTTCGATTTGTCCAAGTGTGAATGGTCTCAAAATGCGGATGCAGACGATTCCAATCTCTGTGACTCGGACTCGGAGAGCGACAAGTCTGATGAGATTGATACGGAAGATTATATTCACGAAGTAATGGACACGGAAGTGGGCTTGGCAAGTAATGCCGCCGAGGATGCTCTGAGCGACAACGATGACGGATAAGATGACGCCGAATTCTTCGAGGATGTTGCTGATGATGACTGGTCCCCTCGAGAAAATGCCAATGCCAATCCTGATTTTCTCCGTGACGCGGAATTGAAGGCGGTTTCTTCTGCGTGGGTTGTATACGATCAAGACCACAGTGGAGACCTGCAAGTAGATGGTGCATCGGATCTGTACAATGGCCGGTGGGGCCCAACGGAGTCTGCGCGAACGTATGCGGAGTCACCTCTTGCCATGTTTTACTACTTCATGCCGAAGTTGATGTGGACCAAAATTGCTGAGGAATCCAATCGATATCGTGCGAGTGTGGTAGATGAAGTCGCTATCCAGAAGCAGCGCCGTCAGCAACAGTGGCAACTTACACACCCAGATAGTCGAGTCCAGTCGTTATCGGATATCAAAGACACTTTGAGCAAGGTGAAACCCTTTCAAGCTCACGAGATAGTTCACTACATTGCACTGCTTATAGCTCGTGCACTGTGCGCCCACCGGCGTTCACTAGGAGATCACTGGTCGACGTCTGAGAATGGGGCAATTCCACGAGGCACGTTCGGCAAATTCAAAACTCGCAAGCGATTTGAGGAGATCACGCGCTATCTACACCCCAGTAAGAAAAAGCAAAAGCAGTTGCAACCTCAGCAACCTGCAAACAAAATTGAGCGCGGAGCGTACCGTGTCGCGTATAATCCACGGATCCCAGGGTTGGTCGCCGCTAGCTGGAAGGATTCAAAGATCGTCAACTTCATGGCAACGGGATGCAGCACGAGACGGGTTATTGTTCAGCGAAAGCGTAAGGGGGATGGCGTCTCTCTTGAAGTTGCGTGCCCCGAGCTGGTTCGTATCTACAACAAAGGCATGGGAGGAGTAGACCAACACGATCAGCTGCGACTTCACCGCTATTCTATCCAGAAAGCACTGCGCCATCGATCCTACTACAAGAACCTGTTTTTCGGTATCGTTGACATGGCATTAGTCAATGGGTTCATTATCCACAAGTTAGTGATGAAAGAGCAAGGCAAACCTGTTCCCACCCATGCTGACTATTTGGCGCGGCTACACGTGGAGCTGCTTGCGCAGCAAAAGGTGGACTTTCAAGGCAACATGCACGCCCAAAACTTACTTTCGACCCCACTGGCAGGACAACCGCACGTGCTGACAAAAACTGCGGAAACCTACAAGAACAAAGTCCGTCAGTATTTATGCAAAGTATGTTCGGCCTATTCCGACAAGGAACATCGCAGCTTCGAGACGCCGTACTCTTGTGAAGAATGCTCGCTTACCTTTGGGGGTCGCGTGGCTCTTTGCAACAAGGTTCGCAGAGAGGAGCGAGGCAACACCGACACGTGCCATCAGACATGGCATATCACCTGGAAGAATGCCACCATCATCCCACCGGACATGAGAAAGAAAATTAGATTCAGGAAAAGAAAGCTGCAGGAAGTAGATGACGAGTAGCTCACCTCTGATCTAATGTGGAGGAAACTTTGCCCATTTGTTGTTTACACAAGTCTTTGCTTGACAAATGGGCAAAAGTTTTCTCCGCGGAAAGCGCGGGGTAGCTGCAGCGCTCTCCACGCCACCAGTTTTAACGCGAATCGCCACGACGACTTCCGTACATCGAGTGTGAAAGGGTAACGAGTGCTACAGACATTTTTCACGATTTTGCACAAAATGTATCCATCAATCTAGCCAATTAGGACTCTTGCATTTACTGGTAGCATCATAAATTGTACTAGAATCCGGCTCGATTGCTAGAAGGGGGCTACAAACAGATAAACTTCACACAGGTACGCCGTCATACTATAGGAAAGCTTATTCCTTTTGCTGTATAATACAGCATAAACAGAGGGGCTAGAAGGGTTAACCAAGTTAATATCGTATCGACCAGAATT